AACAGGTACTGGTGGGGAACGAAAGGAGTTGAAAAGAGTATCCATTGGTTAGCCTAGGACAGAATGTGTGTCCCGAAGAAGTATGGTGGATTAGGCTTTAAACGCTTGCATGAATTTAATGTGGCTTTGCTGGCTAAGTAAGGGTGGTGACTGTTAACGAATCTTAACTCTTTGTTAGCGCAGGTTTTTAAAGCCAGGTATTATCCTACTACTTCTTTTTATGAAGCTGTTTTAGGTGGTAATCCAAGCTATGTCTGGAGAAGTATAATGGCTAGTCAGGAGTTGGTAAGGTCTGGGTGCAGGCGGAGGATTGGGGATAGAAGGACTACTAAAGTCTGGTTACAACCATGGCTACCTGATGCACATGACCCCTATGTGGGTTTGACCCACCAGAGTGTCAATCATGACTTGCTGGTTGCGGATTTGATTGATAATGATGCTAAGAAATGGAATGAGGGTTTAATTAATCAGCTTTTTGCTTCTCGAGATGTGGAGTTAATTAAACGGCTGTCAATTAATGCGGACTTTGAGGACATGTGGTTTTGGGAACGGGATTTAAGGGGTTGTTATTCAGTGAAAGATGGGTATAGAAGGCTGGTTGAACAAGATACCCCAACCTCGGAGGTTTGGGGTATGCTATGGAGGTTACAGGTACTGCCTAAGTGGAAAATCTTCCTGTGGAGAGCCTTATTGAATATTCTGCTTACGTTGGATAATTTGATTATGCGTAGGGTGGATCTTATTAATGTATGCCCATCGTGTGGATTGGATGAGGAAAATGTTATGCATGCTTTATGTTCCTGTTTTTTTGCATCACATGTTTGGTCATTATCTCAATTGCCTATTTCATCTTTTAACGGTAGGAGTTTTAATCAATGGGTGGAAGGCTGGCTTGCTGACACCAAAGGAAGGATTTGTGATTTTTTATATGACATGGACTTCCAGGAATGCTGCAGTATGGGAGGGTTTTTTGCCATATCCGCGAACACTTTTATGTGGTAGTTCAGCTAGGTGGGAGGCGTGGAAGTTAAATTGTCAGCATCATGTCCGAAACTCGCCAGTACAGCCAGTACAATCAGAGCCGGATCCCTTTTCATCAACTGGTGTAATCTGTTATGTAGATGCAGGTTTTCATGGTCCACAGCATGCACCCTCGTATGGATTCATTATATATGATGCGGATGGATTTTTTATGGCAGCGGCGAATGGTCCGTTATCTTGTTCGTATGATCCTATCTTGGCGGAGGCACTGGCAATGTGTGAAGCTTTATCATGGTTGAAGGACAATGGTTATACTGCAGTCACTTTATGCTCAGATAGTTTGGTTTTAGTTTCAAATTTAAGACATGCTAGTACTTTTCGTTCTTATCTTGGTTTTGTGTTGCTATCTTGTAATCGTTTACTTACTTTCATGTCAAATCCTGTGGTAAAACATGTTAGCAGGGATGCAAATCGGGCAGCTCATGCTCTAGCTAAGCATGTAAGCGCTACCTTGGCGCGTTCTGTTTGGAGGGATGGTCCTCCTCTCTTTCTTTTGCCTAGTATGGCTAATATAATCTGATTAAGTTGGCTTTCAAAAAAATATATATCGTATAGGTCTTTAATGTTTTTCTGGATTTCTAAACTTAGGACTTTTAAAAGAAAAAAAAATACATTTGAATTATCTCCACAAAAAGTGGTCTTGGACTTGAATGACATTTGGGTTTATGGAATGACATGTGCATAAAGAATATATTATATAATCATATAAAAAAAATGTGTTCAATTAGAGTTCAAATTTAATCATACAAAATTTGAAATTTTGTTTTCTAAATGTAATGTAATTATCTTAGTATTTATTTGTATTGTGAAAATTATAATATAGATGAAATACAATTAAGAATAAATCAATGTAAGTATGTAAATTCTCTATATAAGTTTATTTGAATATGTACATTATTAGAGATTATATTAACCATACAAAATTTTAATTTTAATTTTAATTTTAATTGTAATTTTGTATTCTATAAAAATAATAAATACTTGACCAATGGAAGCTCAAAAAATATTATTATATTAAACAATTTAAAATATTTTTATTTTTTCTATTTTTTATTTATATTTATAATAACATAATTTTTTTTCCGCGCGATCACGGGTAATAATTATTAAATAACAAAAATTTTATATATGAATAAACCTCATATAGGGTATATTTTTATAACATATTTTCCATGCATCGCACGGGACAAATACTAGTTATTGAATACAACACAATTATATTCTCATCTGGTATCAGTTAGCTAGGGTTTTCTTTTCCAACATTCATGTTCCTCACTTCGTAGCAGTAGCCGATGACATCGAACCAAGATACACCGTATGAGAAGCAGTCCGGTCAACGAGGTGACACTGATGATCCGTGTCAAATTTGTAAAGGTTTCGGCCACATAGGAGCCAATTGTGTTTGGCGTTATGATGATCCGTGTCAAATTTGTAACCGTTTTGGTCACACGGGAGCCAATTGTTTTTGGCGCTATGATGATCCTTGTCAAATTTGTAAATGTTTTGGTCACACGGGAGCCAACTGTTTTCGGCGTTATTTAGGGGCTCCGGGTTTTCAGGCTAATGTGGTCGTCTCTGGTGATAATGGTGATTCCAACGGTCCTCATCAGTGGTTCCCTGACACTGGTGCTACAAATCATGCTACGCATGATTCTTCTTTGATGACTTCTGCGACAAGTTATGATGGCCTGGAGACTCTGCGAGTCGGCAATGGTACAGGTTTGCCTATTGTTAATGTTGGTTCTGCTTCGTTAGCTACTGATTCTATGTCTTTTAAGTTACATGATGTTTTGCATGTCCCTGGTCTCTCTTCTTCTCTATTATCTATCCAGCGTTTTGCAAAGAACAATAATATTTTCTTTGAGTTTCACCCTCTTTGTTTCTATGTGAAATACATTTTGACCAAGAAGGTTCTTTTTAAGGGACATGCGTCTGGGGGGTCTCTACACATGGCCTGCGTCTTCTGCTTCCCCTGCTGCATTTGTTGATGCACGGTCCTCTTACGTTTGACACATGCGGTTGGGGCATCCTCATTCTCGAGTCTTACGTAAAATTTTAGCGTCTTCGTATGTTGGTACATTTAATTCTAGTGATCTTCCCAATGTCTGTTCCTCTTGTCAATTAGGAAAATTTTCTCGTTTTCCTTTGTCTCGTGTCGAAACTACTAGTACGCATCCTTTGGAATTAATTTATTAAGATATTTGGGGCCCTGCGCCATTAATTTCTGCGTCTGGCTTTAAATATTTTGTTTTGTTTGTGGCTGATTACACTCGTTATATGTGGTATTATCCCATGCGTGCTAAATCTGATTTGTATGCTATATTTGATAAGTTTCGGTCACTAGTTGAACGTTCCTTTTCTCGCAAGATTATTTCTTTTCAATATGATTTAGGGGGAGAATATAAAAAGCTTGGTTCCACTCTTGCGTCCTTAGGTATTCGTCACAGGCAATCCTGTGCGTATACTCATGAACAAAATGGCAGGGTAGAACGTAAGCATAGGCATGTTGTTGAAACAGGACTAGCATTAATGGCTCAATCCTCTGTTCCGTCTTGTTTTTGGGATTATGCTTTTGAAACTGCGGTTTATCTAATCAATAAAATGCTCACTCCTGTCTTATCAGATAAATCTCCTCATTATCTTTTGCATCGGTCTCCTCCATCTTATTCATATCTGCGTGTTTTTGGGTGTTTATGCTTTCCAAATCCGCGTCCCTATAATCGCAACAAACTACAGTTTCGGTCAACCCCTTGTGTCTTTCTAGGATATCCTCCATCTTTTCGTGACTATCGTTGTTTAGACACTAACACTAACAAGTTTTTTATCTGTCGCCATGTGCGATTCGATGAGGCTGTCTTTCCTTTTGTTGCTTCTGTGGATTCGCAGGTTCCAAAACCACGCCCGGAGCCGTGGGGTGTTGCACCAATTGTTTCTGGTGGTGATCCGACTATTGTCACGGCTCGTGACCCTCCTGTCGCGCCCATAGCCACTTCTGACCACCACCACCAGCAGCCTGCTACTGCCGAGCCCGTGACCGAGTCCGAGCGGACAGTCACGGACCAGCCGGCTCCTCGGCCAAGAGACCGGCCTCGTGGTCGGTCTCGTCCCGCGCCCTCACCCGTTCGCTCTCATGGAATGAATACGAGAAGTTCGGGACCACATGATCATGTTGCTTTATCTGCTGCTGTTACTCCTAAGTTTACATGTTTTACTCAAGCGGTTAAATTTCCTGAACGGCGGGATGCAATGGATTTGGAATTTAATGCCTTGGTGCACAACAATACATGGAGGCTTGTTCCCTTTAAATCAGGTATGAATGTAGTTGGATGTAAGTGGGTGTTTAGAACCAAGAGAAAGGCTGATGGTTCGATTGAGCGTTACAAGGCTCGGTTAGTTGCCAAGGGATTCAATCAGATTGCCGATGAGGATTTCTTTGAGACCTTTAGTCCCGTTGTTTACGTCTTCTCTTATCCCTAGCTATTTCTCGTGGATGGATTATTCGACAGCTAGACATACACAATGCTTTCCTAAACGGCAATCTCGCTGAGACAGTCTATATGCGCCAGCCCCCTGGCTATGAAGACAAAACGATGTCCGGGCACGTTTGTCTCCTTCAACGTTCTTTGTATGGGCTTAAGCAAGCTCCCCGTGCTTGGTTCACACGTTTGCATGATTTTCTGGTTTCTGTTGGTTTCTCAACTTCCAAGACTGATATATCTTTATTTATATATTCACATGGCAATACTCGTCTATATTTTCTGGTTTATGTGGATGATATTTTGGTTATGGGTTCTGATCTGGTTCATGTGACTGATCTTATTGACAAGTTGGCTCTTGAATTTAAAGTTCGTGATATGGGAGTGCCCTCTTTTTTCCTGGGTATTGAGACTATTCCATTGTCTGGTGGCATGCTTCTGTCTCAACAACGGTACATGAAGGATATTTTAAAACAGGCAGGTATGGTTGATTGCAAGCCCGTGGCCACTCCGGTTTCAACCGCGAAGGCCGAGACTGGTGTCGTGGTGCCATATGCTGATCCCACTCAGTATCGCAGCTTTGCAGGTGCTCTACAATTTCTTACGGTAACTCGTCCTGATCTTTCCTATGCAGTCAATCGTTTGTGTCAGCACATGCACTCTCCCTCCACTGCGGATTGGGTGGCTCTCAAGAGGGTGTTACGGTATGTAAATGGGACACTACATCTCGATCTTAAAATTACTTCCTCTCTCTCTTTGGATACTCATGCTTATTTTGATTCCGATTGGGCTGGCAATCCTGATGATCGAAAATCAACCAGTGGTTTTGCTGTGTTTTTGGGGACCAATCTTATCTTGTGGGTTTGTCGAAAACAGTGTACTGTGGCTCGTTCCTCAACTGAGGCAGAATACAAAGGACTCGTTGATGTTTCTGCAGAGGTTACTTGGCTCGTATCTCTGATGAAGGAACTTGGGTTTGCACCACCTTCTGCGCCCAAACTCTGGTGTGATAATCTGGGTGCAACTTATCTATGTGCTAATCCGGTGTTTCACGCTCGCACCAAACACATTGAGATCGACTACCACTTTGTTCGCGATAAAGTAGCTGGTAGGGAATACCCCGACCGACATGCCTTCGTCTTTTTCTTCTTGTTTGTGCAGGTTACAGGTCGGATTTTTCCTAGAAGAACCACCGAGCGGTAGCCCTTAGGCGAGAGAGCTGAGAAGAGACACGTGGCAACGCTACGTGCTGACAGGCAGGGCACCCGGGAGGGCGACACATGGTTGCTACGTGGGCGACATGCCGGACGGCCGGACTTGTGTCTCCGGCTCCACGGTTATAAATACCCGCGATAGCAACAGTGTGGGGGACTTTTGGACGATCGATAGGTTGTTGTTAGAGAATTCCGACCGCAGTCAGTCGGTACTCAGAACAGCTATTTAGATTGTACTTAGGGTCTTCACCTTGATCAATATAAGACATTTAATTGCTTTAATTGGTCTTGTGTTTATTTATTTCCGCTTACATGGCAATTAACACTATCAATAGCAAAGAAGGAATTACAAGTCAATTTTATTTCTACCAAAAATCAGATAGCGGATATTTTTACTAAGTCTCTTTCATCTGTACGTTTTAATCTACTCCGTTCCAAGCTCAATGTTTTGGCTGACCAAAATTGTACTTGAGGGGGAGTATTAGGACTCTATTATTCATATTAGACTAAGACTATATTATTTGTGTTAGATTAAGATTCTATCTAACATCTCTATATATTCGCTCCATATACTCTCAAACATTATTATTGAATACAACACAATTATATTCTGATCCTTCCAACCAATCGCTCCGTAAAGGAATCTTTGAAAAGAAATCCTCTAATATTCCAATTCCAATCCTCGCTGTCTTTGTGAAATTGGCAGTTGCCTGTTGCGTTGTGGACAGTGCGCGTTTACCCAATTAATTAATCATTTCCCCCCTTTCTCTTCCCCCATTTCATCGCCAGCAGCAACCAATTCTAATCAAATTCAAATTGGTATTAGCTGCTTTTAATCACCTTCGTTTCCGGAAACAATGGCTTCTCGCCGCCGTATGCTTCTCAAGGTCATAATCCTCGGTGATAGCGGGTAATTTTTGTTTCAATTTTTTCATTTTCGATAGATTGAAAGAAACCTCAGGTTTTCTCCCGATTCTTTTGCTTTTGTTGCTTATTGTGCTAGACAAAATCTGCGCCGGCTATATTGGTTTATGAGTTTGATTTGTTCCCCTCCGGTCAACCTTAATCAAGGATTGTATAGATTTCAGATTGGTTAACATTTAGCAGTTCATAAATCAAACAAATCGATTTGTAACTATACTGGATTAATATTGGATCAGAGGAAGAGAAAATGCTACAAAACAATCAAATAGATGCTTTATTTAGCAATGAATAAATTTTGAGTATTGTTGTAATCTTAGATGAATCGAATTGTCTCTTTTGTCTGTCAACTGTCTAGTAGTAAAATTTGTCTGTCACTACTATGTTTGGAGATAGTCTAAGAGGATAGGTTTGAGAGGGGTGATGGGGGGAACTATAAAGTTAGATCCATTTACACAAAAATTAACTCAATCATCTTGAAAAGATGAGTATTAGATATCAGAGATGAAATGCTTGTGTAACTGAAATACTCTCTTTTAACAATACCATAGGGCATGATTGTTTGGGCTACCCCTAGCCTCCAACTAGGTATACCCCTGAATCTAACTGAATTGTGCCTGGATGTGTAAATATTGATGTTAGTAAATATATGAGTTTATTAGTTTTGCATTTTGGTTTATAACTAACTTTGAATTGGTGTCATTTGAATGTTTGGCAGGGTTGGGAAGACGTCATTGATGAACCAGTATGCTCAGATTTGTGCAACTTTAATTTATGAGTTTCAAACTTCTATTTATAGTTCTTCTAATGTGTCCTTTATGCTATTGCTTTATAGGTATGTGAACCGTAAGTTTAGCAATCAATACAAAGCCACTATTGGAGCTGATTTCTTGACAAAAGAGGTTCAATTTGAAGATAGGTTGTACACATTGCAGGTTAGACTCAAAAAAATTTGAAAAATCTATTGAGCTTACCATTTATTTTTGTCAGTGGAAGTTTATTTGCCACTGATTTATGTTGAATCTCTATTTAACTTGTGGTCATAGTAACACATAATTTCTATCAGCCCATAAGTTTCCACTGTTGGCTATGCATAATGTCAATAGATGATTCTTAAACTTCAACTTATTCTGTTGATGGGAGGCTAGGATACAAATATCCTCTCTTATAGCATGTATTTTATAATTTGATTAATCACTGTATGATTAGTTTTGTAACTTTTGTTGAATGATATTTAGTGCCATTGGTGCTTTCTATAACGATCAGTAATTGTCAAGTTTAATGGACTAATGGTAGTATAGTATAGTGTTTGAATTAGGAAATACATACATTTGACATCACGATCACATCAAAGTTTAAATGATCACTGTGTGGTCTGACTATGCACTTGATCCGTGGACCTTGAAGTGCTAGTTAATGCAAATTTCATATCTTGCATCTAGGGATTGTCCAACAAGCCATCAGCCAGTTTAAGCAGTCAATAATTAGTGAACTATAATATTCATAAGTATTTTGTTTAATGAATATTTCTGAATTTCTTTATCCTGTATTGTTAGCATTTTTTTTTTAACTCTCTTTTCTTGTACACTTTATCTTTTTATCCTGGAAGAGTAACAATTTTGATTTGTTGTCGTGTTTTTTCTATTGGGAACTTTTAACTTTTTTTGTTGAAGATTAGAAACATGTACGGTTGACCTAATGAGTGCTTGAAAATTTGAAATAATCTGAACGGCTTATCATTTGGAGTTTTCTATGTTTCCTCAGATATGGGATACAGCTGGGCAAGAAAGGTTTCAGAGCCTAGGTGTTGCATTTTATCGAGGAGCAGATTGTTGTGTTCTAGTGTATGATGTCAATGTCATGAAATCTTTTGAGAATCTTAACAACTGGAGGGAAGAATTTCTAATCCAGGTGACTGTTGATCTGTCAAATTGTAAATTACTGAAGTTTCACTTTGCATTTTCTGCAATCAATAGATGATAAAGTATCTTTTTCATTTAATGTTCAGGCCAGTCCCTCTGATCCTGAGAACTTCCCATTTGTTGTTTTGGGGAATAAGGTAGATGTTGATGGTGGCAATAGTCGGGTGGTAAGTTTCTTTTCCTCATCGGAAAATTCTCTTCTAGATTGATTATGCTTTTTTGTTTTGCTATGTGTTCCCGCCTGTTTCTTGCTAAAAAATTGACTGTTTGGTATTCAGGTTTCTGAGAAGAAAGCCAAGGCATGGTGTGCTTCTAAGGGAAATATACCTTACTTTGAAACATCTGCAAAGGAAGGATTCAACGTGGATGCAGCTTTTGAATGCATAGCCAAAAATGCTCTCAAGAATGAACCTGAAGAAGAAATGTAAGTACTCCATATATCAATATAATACATTTACTAATCATGTGATCCTGAGACTCCTCTCCATCAGTCTTTCTTCATCTTTCCATCTTTGATCCTGAGACTCCTCTCCATCAGTCTTTCTTCATCTTTCCATCTTTGAAGGGTAAAATATAAAGTTAAAATGCATGCTTTTGATCTACCTAGTTACACTTGTCCATAATTGCTTCTCCCACACTTGACGGAAGATCTATAATTACACAATTACACTTCTAACAAAAAAATAAAACGTTTTAAGCATGTTTCCCATACGATTTGCTAAGACTGTTTTTCCTTTGATATTCCACCAAGTGTGATTAACACCATGCTAATTTTGGTGTTCAACTCGTATTAAACATTCACATGCTTGTTATGTGGCAGATATCTCCCAGACACCATTGATGTTGCGGGTGGGCATCAACAAAGATCAACAGGATGCGAGTGTTGAAGTGCTTTCTCATTTCAATGTCTGTTTTCGGTCTGGAACGAATTCAGTAATTCAATTTGATTATATGCTGTTAATTGTAACCCATATCTAGTGTGTATGGTTGTGTAGTTTTAAGATTCTTGATTATCTCCAAGTGTAATTCAGGGGGTGATTAGTATTGGGATTCTTTTTTCTTCACTTGACGAATTACGGTGGTGTCTTTATGAAACTACAATTTTTTCAATGCATATTTCATTTTAGGCAATTATATGATTTATATCATGGACCGGGTCTAAATAAAAATTAGAGCCCCTTAATTGTTCTTTGCTAGTTGTTTTAGATCTTAACTTTTTACTGTTGCAATATACACATTTAACTCTTTTAAAAAATTGTAGTTTTAACACATGAGACAACAAAATTATTGTACTCGATTAAAATTTTACTTAGCTAACACGTGTATTTTAGTACTTTTTATTTTTAATTATACTCTTGTTTAGTCTCGATATTTCATTTGTAAAATAAATAACATGATTTTAAATGAGTTGTGTAGGGAAATATGGAAGATGTGCAACAATTAAAAGGAAAAATTAGGAAAAAACAAAGATAATACAATTTTTTTAAAAAATTATGTATTAAGTAAAATTTTAATAGTTTTGTTGCTTCAGATGTTAAAAATGTAACTTTTTTGAAGAGTTAGGGATGTATATTGCAAAGGTAAAAACTTAACGTCTACCCTATCCAAAACTTATTAATAAATACTCTGTGTTTATGTATATATTTTATATTAAGAATAAAAAATTTCTTTTGTCCCCCTCAATTTTTTGTTTAAAAAAATTCTAATATGTATATATTAAATAAGTCTAGGACATATATTGAAGTCCAAATTCACCAAATAAAAATAAATAAATCAAGTAATTAATTAATTAACTATTATGTATATTTATTATTTATTTACACTTTAGGATGTACATTTGCTAATTCAAAAGACTAGTTTTGAAAGTTCCTTAAATTTTGGAATATTAAGTTAATTAGTAAAATGAATATTAATTAATTAGTAAAAATAAATGTTGCCAACAAAATAAATGACAACTTTTATATTTGATATAAGAGTGACAAGCAAAATTATTATTGTATATATTTTGTGCTATGTAAAAAATTTTAGAGTATCGATTGACATCGATATCTATTGTTACATAAATTATCATTAAAAACTATTATCGATCATATATAGTATAATTATGTATGGTATATAATGTATGGTATATAATGATATCATGCATGATTGGAACTATTGTTGATTGACATTACAAATTTTTTTATGTAATTTTGACCCCCCTGATATACATTTTACACCAGCAACAACAGATAACTTTGATTGTCTGAAGCTAAGGTTGTTCATACTCATTATATTTGAAAGAAAAGATCTAACAAATAAATGATGAACTAAAAATGTGTTTATCACTCTAAATAATTTTTACAATCTCTCTCTTATTCTGCAACATTTATTGGCAAAACTTACAGATATATCAATTCTGAACACTCACAAATTCATACTTCTTTCAATGTATTATACACAATCAGTTGCTGAACATTTATTCATTTCGGATGAACATGTTTCACCTCTCACTCTGTACATCCACATTTTAATTAAACAACTTCAAAAGGACTATTTTGCCTTATTACTATGATATATGATGCCTCAAAAAAAAAAAAAAAAAAAAAAAAATTGAAACAATTTTACAGAAATCTGATACACCAAAATGGTCACAAAAACCATGGAGTACAGTTTCGATCTTCACCTGTAAACGCACGAACTCTTCTTGAACTTGATAGGTTTATTGCTGGCAGAGTCAATAACCACGTCACAGGAGATCCTTCTCCGGCGCCTCGTCGTCACCAATTTTCCGACCACATCTCCCTTCGTCTTCAGTTCAAAATCCAGCGTCAACGGAACTTGGACGGCGCCGGTGGTCGACACCACCAGACTGGATCCCGCGCCGTACAACGGCACTTTTGTTCCTTGTATATTCACGTCCACGGTCCGGTGACTCTTCCTCGGCTGAAAATACTTTTTCAACTAATAATACGAGGAAAGACCCGTTTTAGTTTATAATCTCGAGAACAGGAATTGACTGAAACTATTCTTTTATTAATTGTGATATTATAATAATTATCACGGAAATATTTTCCGTTACCTGTCCAGTGGCGACAGTAATGTCGGAATAGACGAGATTGATGGGTGTAGAGCTGACATGAATACCGTAAAAAGTAGCTGGGTTATAGACGCTTATCTTCAGAGACCCATTCACCGACAGCAACCTAGTCGGAACTCCGGTGGAGTCGGAACCTTCGCCGGCATAGATGTTACTCATGGACAAGCTCTGCAAAAATGGATCAAATTCTTGAATTCTCCGCAGGAAAAAAAAGGGAGAGAATTGAATATGAAATAATATAGTAAAGAAAAAGAAAATTAAATTAAACCTTGACAGTAATCTGTGGTTTGAAAGGCCTAGCTGCGCCCCAGATGATCAAACAAAAGACAGTAAAAAGAGCAATAAATCCACAAAAAGCCATTAAAGCTTGAAACCTCCGAGTAAACCCTTTTTCCTCAAATTCATCGTACTTCCCCTCCTCAACAATCACATTACACTCCGGCCACCCCTTATCGTTCCTCTTCCCCCTGTTCTTCCTCCCGGACGACTGCCGGAATATGCCGGAAAACCGGCTGGCCGAGGAATTCCGGGAGTGGCGCCCAAAAGAAGGGTGCGACGGCGATTCCATGGGGCTATAGCTGGGAGTCGGCTGCATGGACGCCGACTTGTCGCCATCGTGAGAATCCCTTGAAGGGCTCTGGACAAAGTAGACAGGCCTCTTGGGTGATCTTGAAGGGGAAGATGGAGCTAAACTGGTTATATCGGACTCTGATTTCGTATGCAACATCTTCCGGCGACTTTAATTCTTGATTTTCAGTTCCTAATTGCCATCAAAATTGTACAAATTATATATATAAATTTATATATGTGCATGGAAATGGAGGTTTTTGTGGGAGTAGAAGAAAAGAGTAAAGCAAGAAAAGCTGGGTGGTTCAGAAATAAGTGTCGGCAGCAAGGCGTCACTATCACATAGGGGGCCTGCCACGAGATAATCATTACTACAAATTATGGGAAAATGATAGGGATTAGTGCAAGTAAAATACTAGAGTTAAAGTCTTCATTGACTTAACTCAATAGTTTACTAGAAAGATAGAGTTTTTTGCACTTTTAGTCCCACAATTATAGTGTCACTAGTAGAATTGATCCACGATTTTTGAATCTTGTAATTTTAATCTACGACTATTGATTTTTTTGTAAAAAATGATCCTTCCGGCCACTTTTTCGTCAAAATTTCACTGGAAAAAAAATTCTCCATTTTTAACAAGGCTAAAATTGACATTTTACTTATCTCAACAAAAAAAAGAAAAAAATTGACATTTGACTACATAGTACATACAATATTACTGGGCTACATACTACTGCCTCAGGCGGCGGAGTTCCTGGAGCAGACAGGGCTATCAGTAAGCGGTGGAGCGGCCGTGGCGTTCCCTGGGCTAGTTGGGTTATCCGGCAGCAGCATTGGAAGCGGAGCAAGCACGCCTACCGGATCATTCGAAGACATCGGAAAAGCTTCGCTTTATAGATTTTCGGCGAGAGAAGCGGCGGAAATTCTCAAATGCAATCGCTTATATATATATTTTTTGTTGAGATAAGTAAAATATCAATTTTAGCCCTGTCAAAAATGGAGAATTTTTTTTTCCGGTGGAATTTTGATGGAAAAGTGGCCAGAAGGACCATTTTTGCAAAAAAAAATTAATAGTCGTGGACTAAAGTTGCAAGGTTCAAAAGTCGTGGATCAACTCTGCTAGTGCCACTATAGTCGTGGGACCAAAAGTGTAAAAAACTCATAGAGTATAGTTAAAAGTTATGTGTATAATTAATATACGAGTTAATAACCAAAATCGTCCTCGACTATAGTGGTTTTTCTCAATTTCGTCCTAAACGACTTTGGTGACCTAATATCGTCCCAGACTTTTGTGTTTCGCTCAATTTAGTCCTCCATTTGTTATTTCGTCAAATTGGTGTTAAATTAAGGGACAATTCAGTAATGTCAATATTGATCTCTCTTTACTTTCAATTTGTGAAGTGCGAAATTCCTCTTTCTTGTACGAATTACACCCAGAATTACTCCCGGACCTGCAAATCAAATTTTATATTCGTAGTTTTAGGAGTAATTATGGGAGTAATTCGTAAAAAAAAAAAAGATTTCGCAGTTCACATGTCTATGAGTAAAGAGATGCCAATATTAAAATTACTGAATTGTCTATTTATTTAACACCAAATGGACAAAATAACAAATGAGGGACTAAATTGAGCAAAAACACAAAAGTCTGGGACTAAATTGAGCGAAACACAAAAGTCTGAGACGATATTAGGTCACCAAAGTCGTTTAGGACGAAATTGAGAAAAACCACTATAGTCGAGGACGATTTTGGGTATTAACTCATTAATATACTAAGATACATATATTGATAAACCCTGTTAAATAATAAAAAAAAATTAAATAATAAACATAATAATAAAATTATGTCACTTATCATCTAATATCTCATAATAAACATATAATATTATAGTTGGAATGGGGAGGAATTAGGTTTTAATAGGAATGGATATATTAAATTATTTTTTTAAAGTAAAAAGGATAAAAATGAAAAGTTCAGCCTTATTTTGAAATGATATGAAGAATATCATTTCAGAATAAGTTATTTTTAAAGATGTTTGACTTTTGCCAAATAAAGTTATATAATTCATAAGTAGCTCAGATGGCATGTAGTGACTTCTTCCATATGGGAAGTCATGAGATCGAGTCTCAGTGGAGGCGTTGTTGACTCTTTGTGCTTCAATAGGTTGAGAAAGTATGTTTGAACAGATACATTACAATGTAATAGAGTCAGTAGCTTTCAAAAAAAAAAAAAAAAAAAAGTAGCTTAAACTAAAATATATCAAACAGAAACTATCCCTTCAAAAAAAAAAAAAAAAAAAAAACAGAACCTATATGTAATATTTTTTATTCACAAAACTATACATTTTAATTTATTTGGATTTTGTCAAATGTTGTCCCCCCCCCCCCCCCCCCCCCCTCCTTGTTTTTTTTTTTTTTTTGTTGAAATTTAATAATTTGGTTTAAAATTTGTAAAAATAGTATAATGTATGGATCAAATTAATATATTTATCA